GTGTCACCTCTCCCTCACAGTCCCCAAGGGACACAGAGGAGATGTGGGGGCCCTAGGTGGTTCTAGGGCCCTCGGTCTAAGGCCTTGGTCTGCTCATCCTCCCCTAGATGTCTGGCAAGGTGGCCATTGGCAGTGACATTGGGCAGGCCCGCCGGGCTGTGGAGCAGCTTCGGATGGAAGCGGGCATCGACCGCGTGAAGGTGAGGGCTGGGGCGGGATCAGAGCTGGCGGGGGGCGGAGGGCACCTCTGGGCTAAGGTGGGGCAGGTGAGCAGTCAGGGCTGTCTGCAGGTGTCCAAGGCGGCCGCTGACCTGCTGCAGTTCTGCACAGAGCAGGCCAAGAGCGACCCCTTCCTGGTGGGCATCCCAGCGGCCACCAACCCCTTCAAGGAGAAGAAGCCCTGCACCATCCTATGACCCTGCGGCCCCACCTCCCAGGGCATCTCAATAAACACCAAGTGGATGATCCTCAGAACAGGCCATGGCTGGGCTCGGATGGGGGTTGAGGGCAGGGGGGCTGGGGGTAAGGGGAAGGTCTGGGGTGCTGCAGGGGCTAGACACACCCCTGGCTCAGCCTCCCTCTCCCCCTACCTCCAGGATAGTAGCACACACACCCTGCAGTAGCACACACACACACTGTAGACACCCTGGATAGAAGAGCACCCACTTCCCCTGCCCGTGAGGGATTGTGGGTGGTGTGACCTCACCCACCCACCACTCAGACACACCCCAGGTTGAGAGTCTGAACACACACACGCCTCTCCCACACAGACGTCTCCTGTAGAATTTGAGCACGTGTCACACTCCTACACAGCTCTCTCACACGCACATGCTTGTCGCACACGGAGTCCTCCGGTCTCCTTTCCTCTTACACACACACGGAGTCCTCCAGTCTCCTTTCCTCTTACACACACACACACACACAGTTTGAAGCCACACACGCCTGCCCACTGACACACAAACAGACATGATGGCCAGTACGGCGGCATCACTTGCACATGTGGCAGGCACAAGCACACACAGACACGAGTCCTGGAAGCCAGCACGCCCGGCCCGGTTCCTTGGACTCGAGCTCCGCAGTCAGCACACACTGGCCCAACACCTGTGGGGCCCGGGCAGCACCAGGCTCACAAGGTTTATTTCTTCTTCACGCTCTACTTCTTTGTGGAGAGTAGAGCGTTCAAAGCACAACAAGAACAGGGCCTGAGGGTGGGGGGCAGTCCCCCGCATGGGCCAGAGCTCCAGTGTCACCACCACTGGCCTGGGGCCCAGCCTGACAGTGGCCCAGAGGATTCTGCAGGCCGAGAGCGGAGGCAGCACCAATGGGGGGAAGGTCCCCCGAGAACAAGGATGGAGGCCAGCCTGCTGGCCCGCGGTGTCCACAGCCATCAGCTCAGGCCTGGAGCCGCCAGACTTCCAGCGACAGGCCCCCAGAGGCTGCCACCACCAGGTTGCCCTCAGCAGAGATCTGGGGGGACAGGGAAAGAAGGAGTTGGGGGGTGCTCTGGGCACCAGGGGGAGTGGACAGGGAGGGGTGGCGGGGGAGTGGGGGGGAGGGGTGGCGGGGCTTACCCCATTCAGCACGTTGTCGTGGTGACGGGTGCAGATGGTCCTTGGGGGGTCGGTAGGCACATGTACCTGATGTGAGGCAATGGGCAAAGGTCAAGAGGCCCGCCCGCTTTGGAGAGAAGAGATGGGCTGTGCTGAAGCAGGGCCGGTGCCTGGCCTCACCCGGATGGTCTTGTCGGTGGAGGTGGTGTACAAGGCCCCCAGCGAGTGCTTGATCCCTGTGATCTGAGACCTGTGGCCCACGTCGAAGGACTGCAAAGCAGGGAGAGGGGTGGGCCGCACTCAGGTGAAGCTCTCCCCAGCCCACCACCCAGGGCAAGGGCCAAGGGGAACAGGTATGAGGCCTAGAGGCCGGGGCGCCCAGCAGACCCGGACAAGTTGGAAGCAGCCATCTCGGTTGGAGAAGACGTGCAGCAGGCCCTGGTTGTCACCGGCCCAGAGCTGTGGCTCCTGGTAGGACATGCAGAGCAGATACGAGTCCAGCTGCAGGAGGGGGGTAGGGACAGGGCAGCTCAGGCCAAGCTCTGCCAGGCTACAGGCCCCGAGGACCCCTGGAGAGGTTCCCACCTGCAGCCGCTGCAGGACGCTGTTGGCTCGGCGGTCGAACACCACGAGCGTGTGGTCCTCACTGCCCGAGATGATGTGCCGGTCGTCGGCCAGCAGGGCCAGCACTGCACTGGAGTGCAGCCGCCGGCTCTTCAGCAGGGTGGGGCCAGCTACAAGGCCAGGGCCAAGGAAAGCGTGGCAGGCCCGTCAGGGACCCCCGGGGAGCCTCCAGCCCCACTGGTAAAACCCTCAGCTCAGGCCTCTGCGCTCCACCACACGCCGTCTTATTTCCCACTCAAATCCCACTGCTCTTCCTCTGAGGATGGAGCTGAGCCATCCCTGGACACGCCTCCGTCCCTGCCCCCTGTCTGACACTGCCCAGAAAAGGCACAGGCCCTCTAACTAATCCAGTGAGAACGAAATCAAGCAATAGGTAGCGGGACAGACTTAAGCTCCAGGTACCAATCTAGGCCTTTCATGTATCAGGATCCATCCAAGTCACACCCCTTAGTCCTATGGAGTCAATGGCAATCTTGTCATTGTCCCCAGTAGCCCTATGCAGCTGCTGCTATGACTACTGGTCCACTTTTACTGGGGTGGGGCTTCCTCTTCACACACACCCCCCCCAGTTGTGTGTGTCACCCCCTCACAGCACTGAGCACCTTGAGTGGGTAGCATGCGGTGATGTGCCTGTCACCCCCAACAGGCTGGGAGTCCCTGCAGGGCTCTGGAGACCCCAGGCAACCATGTTCCCCCACCCCGGCCCCGGGTCCCCAGCCCACCTCTGGGGTCGTAGACCGTCACCTTCTTGTCATAGGTGCCCGTCACCAGGATGTCGGGCTGATAGGAGAGACAGAGCACAGCGGCCTTGCCCCTGGGGACACACAGACCGCAGGGCTAGGGCCGGGGCCAGCCAGGGCCCTGCCTCCCCAGGCCCCCCTGCCCGTGACCCCTCACACTTGATCTCGCCGAACTGCTGCCCATCAGCCGCCATGTCCCAGAGCTTCACCGTGCTGTCCCAGGAGCCGGAGCACACGCGGTGGTCCTGAGCTGCCAGCGACCACACCCAGCCCTGTGGGACCACAGGGTGCAGCAATCACACAGGGGTGTGCCCCACCACCACCACCACCACAGGCTGGGTGTGCCCTCACAAGAGCCCAGTGAGAGGGAGGCTTCCCTGCGTTGGTAGTTGAAGCTCAGAAAGGTCAATAAAACAAAAGCAGACTCAACTGCCCTTGAGTGGACGCCGACTCATAGCGACCTCTAGTTATATAGGGTAGAACTGCCCCCTGTGAGTTTCTGCAACTGTGCCTCTCTTGCTCTCTCTTTTATAATTAATGCTTTTATTGGGGACTCTTACAACTCCGAGATGGTATCTCTTTATGGGACTAGAAAGCCGGGTCTTTGCCTGTGAAGAGGGGCAGCTGGTGGTTTTGAACCGCTGGCCTTGAAGTTAGTGGCCCAAAGCGTAACCACCACACCATCCAGGCTCCTAGAAAGGCCAGTGGACGCATCCACAGTCACACGGCTCTATTCCGTCACTCCCACTCTGCCAGACTGCAGCACGATCCCGGCTCCGGTGGGCTGTGTTCATTTCCCGGACCACTAGTAAGAATGAGGGTCAGGGGAAAGGAGGCGGCTGACCCAAGAGCTCAGACCAAGTCTAGATTAGTTTGGGTCGGTGGGTGTAGCTGGCTTCAGAGCCTGGGGCATGCACACCCCGCCCAGTACCATTTCTGAGTCAACAACTGAGGAGACCCAACATCGGCGATGCCTTTGAGCCCGGGAGAGTGTGACTAACCGTGCCAACGCCATCTGTGACCCAGTTAGGTCGCCTCCCCCATTCTCCCTGTCTGTGTCAGCAAAACAGGACCCTACCTTAGCAGCTTCCAAGCCCAGAGTAGGCTCCTGGCTGATGCCTCCCTCCCATGCCCCCACCGTCCCAGGAGGGCCCTATAATGTGTCCCGTTTTACAAATAAGGAAACTGGGGCGCCAAGGGTTGGGTTTCCGGTCACACAGCCAGGAATCGGCAGGGCAGGGCTTTGAACCCGGCAGTCTGGCTCCAAGCCCAAGCTCAGTGACTGGCGGGGTGGCCCTTCACTGCCACTTCTTGCAAAGTGGCAGTCGTGCCCAGGGCTGCCAGAGTCCTACGGGGGATCTCAGGATATTAAACAAATAAACAAACAAAAGCACCGCCGCTGACACAGAACCATGCAGCTGCTAACTCCTGGCAACCCCATGTTCAGAGTACGACTGAGCTCCACCGGGCCGTGGTCTTTCAGAAGCAGAGCGCCAGGCCTTTCCTCCAAGGGACCTCGAGGTGGACCAGCACTGCCCACCGTGGGTTAGTAGCTCAGTGTGTGCCACCCAGGGACTCGTTTGCCTGACATCTGAGCACCACTGCCTGTGCCAGTGCCTGAGTGAGGCTGTATGTTCATTAGACAGACGCATAAACTGAGGCACACAGACCTCACCCATCTCACCCAAAGTCACAGCAAGGGGATGGGGGGGAAGCGAGCCAAGTTCCAGATCTGCTGTCTGGTGCCAAAGCCCATGCCCTCAGCCCCGGTGCCCTGGCCCAGCCTGACCCCTCACCTTGTGGGTGCTGTTGTGATCGGTGCCCAGGGCTTTGACCAGGACCCGGCTGGGCTCTGCCCCCAGCTGCCGCAGGTCCCAAAGGTTGACGTTGCGATCTCGGGAGCCTGACAGACAGAGCGCCCCACCCTGGGAAGAGAGTGGGGAGCTGCGGTGGGTGACCTCCCTGACGCCCCTCTGCCTGGCTCCCAGCCAGCCCCGCCTCACCTGCAGCAGCAGCACGGAGTCAATAGAGGCAAAGTGCCCGTCGGCCAGGCAGAAGTACTCAGCCCGATGCCCGTCCTCTGCCCAGCGTGCCAGGTGCTGCTCCAGCTCAATGCAGGCAGCCGGCCAGTCAAAGTCCTCCTCTGTGGGGCACCAGGAACAGGGTCCCTGGTGGGCAGGGGCCCTGCTGCCACCCGCACCAGCTGGCCAACCCCACCCTACCCCAGACTTAAACAGACGCCCACCTGAATCCTTCCACCCACACCACCAGGCAGGGACCACCTATACACTTACCCCTTAGGCGGCAGCCTCAGAGGTCTGGGCAGAGGAAGGAGCTGGGGTCTCCTGCCTAAAGCTCCCAGCTCCAGGCTCTGAACCAGACCCAAGGAAGCGTTTCTCAGAATCAAACTCAAAACACAAACCCACTGCCAAGGAGCCAAGGACAACTCTTACAGCGACCCAAGAGGACAGGTAGAATGTCCTTGAGGGTTTCCAAAACTGTAACCCTTCATGGGAGCAGAAAGTCTCCCCTTTCTCCCAAGGATCAGGGCTCCTCCTTTCACAGCCTAGAATCTGTACATGAGGGAGCCGGTTAAGACGCAGAATCCAGGGCCCAGAGGCAAGTGTCTGCGCTTCCATCCAGCTGGTCAGGAGAGTCGGACCAAATGCTCAATCGGCAACACCTTGAGAATCATTGATCTCTGCAGAGTCAGGGCGTCTGAGTTAGGATAACCAACCACTCAGCTTATTTCTCAGGATGGGTCAAGGGCCTAGGGCCTGAGGATCCAAGGAATCACTGTCTCAGGACCAATAATAGGAATTTAAGGCTTGCCCCACCCCAAGCTGTTTTAGCCCTCCAAGACTCACGACTTCTGAGGCACAGGGAGAAGCCACCAGCCCCTCCCTAAGAGCCCAAGTTTGTCAGGGTTTCCAAGCTTAGTCTGGGCTCAAGATTTCAGGTTCTGAACTTGGAGTTCCTGCTTCATCCCCTCCTAGGTTGAGGGTCTTAAGATCAAGGGCTCTACACCCGAGGATTCTTGGACTCCTCGGTGTCGACCATATATCCCCACTGCCGGAGACGTCAAAATCCCTGTGTCAACAGCCAGCCAGGGCTCAGGGATTTGGTAACAACAGACCCAACGCCTGAGGGGTCAGGGACCCCAATCCACTGCCTCATCGGTTTCCACCGTCTCAGCATCCCAATATCTCCCTCGGGCGCTCCCAGAGGTCGGAGGCACCATCGCTCACTACCTCGGCCTCCAGGGCTGTGGCCCCAGTATGCCTGGGCGGGCATCCCCGGCCCCCGGGAGCGCGCACCTTCCACCACGGGGTAGGGCGCGCGGACGCGGCGCTGCGCGCGTAGCCTCCAGGTGACATGGTCACGCACGAGGTCGCGCAGCACATGGCACACGCGCGGCAGGACCTGAAGCACGAGGCGCGCGTCCAGGTAGGCGCAGATCTCCAGGAGCAGCTCCGGGGGGAGGCTCAG